AGGCAGATAACAGTAATTCTTCAGAAGACATGTCAGTGTCTTTTTGGCACAAATATTGAAAACCACTGATGTGTTTCATCTTAAGATTTTCACAAATGCTAAATTTATTGGAGTTTTTTGGGTGCATTTGGACAGAAAGTTAAAGCATATCAAAGATGTACTATACTATTAATAGTAATACTATATAGATAGTACTTCACTATTTCATTTCAATTCATAATTTTAAGCTGAATGTTACTGCTTCAGACATAGGCTCATCAGAGATCTCCCTTAGCTGCCAACCGTTCATGCTCATTTACATGCATATATAATAAACGACTAAAAATAATATGAAAGGAAGACCATTTAAGGAATCGCTGATGATGTACATGACCTTTGAACTCAATGGTAAATGGATGAAATATACTTGCAGCACTCAGTTTGACTGCAATCAGGATGGTAGTCAAAAGTAGACCCTTGAGGGGGGGGAAGGCAGAGATTAATGTGTTGCAGGAAACCTCAAGATTTTCAGAAATAAAAGTTGTTATTTAAAAAAAATAGGCAAAAAAACCTTGACAATTCAATATGACCAATCATACTCATTCATGGCCTGGAGAATGATCCATTTGTGGAGATGCAAGAGTGAGAAGAGCGAGAATTCCATTATCATGGCTGTCTACAATCCTGATCAGGAACAGTTTTCTTCTGCTTCTGCTCTTCTATGAGCCATGGTGGCTCAGTGATTAGAATGCACTACTGCAAGTTACTTTTGCTGACTGCTGGCTGCAGTTTGGCAGTTCAATTCTCACCAGGCCAGTGGTGGGTTGCAGGCAGTACGCCCGGGTACAGGCATACCAGAGCCAGCCTGGAACACCGGATACCATTCCGGTATGGTGCTCTGGAGGGCCCACCCGCACACCCTCATTTCTTACCATCCTTTTACACCTTCAGCGCTTCTGCACACGTGCACAGTGCATATAGCGCCTGCGCGATGCTCTGCTGAGCAGCTGGAGTGTCGTGGAAGCTCGCAGAAGCGCCAAGATGTATGTGCACACACTCAGCGTGTCCACGTGAATGCCAGCAAGCCCGTTCCAACTGTACTGGTTGGAATGGAATCTGCAACACACCACTGCACCAGGCTCAATGTTGACTCAGCCTTCCATCCTTCTAGGGTGGGTAAAATGAAGACCCAGATTGTTGGTGGCAATATGCTGACTCTGTAAACTGCTTAGAGAGGGCTGTAAAGCACTATCAAGTGGTATATAAGTCTAAGTGCTATTGCTATTAAGACATACTGCAGCCTTTTTCCCCACCCTCTTGTACCAGTGAGGACCAAAGGAAGTGGTAGCAATGATTGGAACACCTTTACACATTTGGGTGTTAGAGGGAAATGTTCTTTAGCTTTGGTGAGAGGTTATTGCTTTTGTTGAGATCATTTGCAGAGGGGGGGGGTCCTATTTTTCCCCTTTAAAAAAAAAAGCTTAAGTAAAAGATCCTGGGTGCTTCAGACAAAGGTCCTAGAAAATAAAGCTCACGATGAAGCAACCTGAAAAAGCCCATCTGCCATATACAGATGTCACATATTGTCCTGAAATGGTTTTCAGGGTGTACCTCTTCCCTTGAACTGGAGAGAGACACACTCTATAATTGAGAACAGATGGGAAAAAAGAAGAAAACACACCCAAATCCTGTTATATACTTTTATTTGGGGGAGGAGGGTCATTATTTTAGTGTTTGTTATATGTTATTTTATACCCCTGTTTTTAGGCATTCTGCATTATCTTGCAGCAACAAACAGCTTTGTTTGAGGAATGGCATAGGTAGGCATTAACACTGAGTTGATCAAATAAAACACTATTTCAATACAAATGAGATCAAAGTAATCTAGCCATTCATTTTGCACACACTGATCTAACGGTAAAATAAAAAGTATTGCCGTTTATTCAGAAAGGTGAGGAAGTTTTAAAAACAGAGATGGGTGATGGGTAGTTTGTCCCCCCTCAATGGACTTTTGTCCTTATTGTGCAAAACCACCAAAACCACCCTATGTGACAGAAAATGCATAACACCTGGGTTTGGGTTTCTTCCACGCCACTACCACACAAAATTCTGCACAAGCGCTCATTTGGCTTCCGGCCTTAGCTCAGTCACACAGGAATCCTTCTGATTAACTCTGAGGCAAAGAAGAAATGCATACCACAATGAAGATGCAAAGCTTAAGAGCAGCATGTGCATGTATGCACATTCACACACTTGCCTTTCCCCCATTGAGACAGACATTTCTATTCAGAGAGAGAGAGAGAGAGAGAGAGGGAGAGAGAGGGAGAGAGAGGGAGAGAGAGGGAGAGGGAGAGAGAGGGAGAGAGAGAAAGAAAGTGGGTGGGTGGGA